GGCCTGAGACCAAAGGTGATCAAAAACAACAATAGAAAAACTTGCTTTACTTTTTGATATACATTACTGCCACTATGGAAATCAGTGACAGCGAACAAAATATGGTGATGGAGTACATATATAGGCTATTACAAAACATATAATAGAGAAAGTGGCATGTGAGAGAAATCATATCACAAGGTGAGACGAAGGGCGCGAAAGTGATGAGTGAGGGATGACGAATGGCCGGCCAAGAAACCCGTGAAAGTTGTACACGTAAGATGACTTAGCCGAAAAACGGAACGGAGATCGTTAATCATACACAGAAAGTAAAGAAGGGACCGGAAAGAAAAAGGGATTACTGTGCGATTAATAAAACAAGGAAGGGTTAATAGGTAGCATTCCGCATAAATCTATAGACTATGAAGTGAAGTAAACAGAAAGAAAACAGCTCCGTAAAACTCTCAAACAAATGTGAATCTACTTTTACACAGGAAAACTTATTTCAACGGAGATAGGATACTATTCATCTGACCTCGATTAAACTCAAGGTTAGCCAACTGGGAGCATGAAGCAGCGACATCTAAGTTCTCAATTGAGTTGAATCGCTTCAGAGTCAGCTGTGACATGGAGCGTCTTCGAAGAAACTTCATCGGAACCGTTGGAGCCTGCATGCTCTCACGAGCTCTGTAAATAAATAATACTTTTAACCTCAACAACAAGAAAAAATGGTCCACGACTATTGAAAACTAGTGGTGAAAATCTGATATACCTAGCCAACGCTTTAACATGTGCCATGGATCCACCACTCTCGGAAGAGCCAGATCCGATCGCACTGTCATCAGAAGTGTGCTCACGTCGGCCTGTCGTTGCAAGACACATCATAGAGCTAAAAATAGAACCTCCCAGTTCGAATAGACATGACGCATCACCAAAAATAATGTAGAGCATGTCTCTAAAACTCCTGCATACCCACCCGGCGATGTTACGATTCTTGAGAAGAATCTTCTCGGCCGCAGGTTTAACAGCACTTCGAGTCACCGATATCGGGGGAGCTTCACAGACTGTTTCTGGAGTAACATTGCACATATTCTGGGAGAAATTTTCGATGGTGTTTGGATTGCGGGCCGACAAATGGTTTGGATTAGGACACTAAAACAGGACTAATTCAGCTCCACGGAACACAACAATTTGTGAGATTAATTTGAGCTTTCACGCTTACCTTTTTTAGCAACATGAACTATATTTATAGTTGATCGACTTACCACAAGGGCATATTCCTTATCATTAGGATGGATAAATTCGCAGCGAAGACCATAAGGACAATAATTGGACGCGTACGGGCCGAAGTTCTTACACAGTTTCGTCTTGTATCTGGCATTAGGAGCACGCGGTGGCTAAAATAAATAAAAATCTTGCTCAGTTGTTAAAATCTCTCATAATCACGATCTTCAATTGAATTTGCCTCGGATCAGAAGAGCAATAAATTTTTCAGCGCAAGTGTAGTTAGTGAGGGGAGGGGAGTAGAGAAAATGAGCATAGCGGTGCCATAGTTCAACCCAGCAACATCAAGTCTATTTTGCAGTGGAGGATTACCCGAGGGGTGGACCGATTCCTGGTGTAAGAAAAGGTCTAGGAGGGTTTCAAAATGAAAATGTTCTTTACTATTTTCTTTGTTGATTTCAAATACCTTGGGTTCTATTCGCCACGATGCTACCCCTGTCCTCTTTCTCCCTCCTCCCACTCGCTACTAATTACACCTTCTCCGAATACTCCACTAGGACTGCAGAAAAGAAACCGCAGTCGAGCTCATCAAGGAAACGGTGACAAAATTTGGCAAAACAGCTTCAATAAAACCACAGTGCAAAATTAAACGAAGCTCTACTGAATAATTGGAAACTCACCGCATCGGCGACACGAAGTTCTTCTGGACCATGCGCAAACTTGCAGCGACTCCCCATTTCACATTTGTTTTCCTGATGCGTACGTTAAGCACATTCTGGTTTTATAATTAAATGGCACGGGCGGTGGGCGCCGCTGACGAGGAGGTCGCTGCTAGAAAAAAGCTTCACAAAATCGAGCAGGCGATGGAGTACCGCTACATCGACGTACCTCTACATCTTTGTCATTTTCTCCGCCAACTGTTTCTTCAGATACAATTGAAATTTTTGACAAATTCGCAAGCACATCATCCTGTTCCATGTTCCTTTAACATTACATATTTTAAAAAATATGTACCACGACTAAAAACCCCGAAACGGAATACAAAAAACTAAATGACTAAGTAACAAGCACCTGTGGTATTTCAGATGGGCGACGTTGAGGTTGCCAGCATAGGGCAGTTGATTTGTCATCGGTGGTGGGATTGCGAATTCTGTAGGTAACGGAGTGGATGTGCTCAAAGGACGTACAGCTGACTTAGTTCTATTCATTGGAACTGAATTGAAACCGTTGTAGATGGCAACCTTTCTCAGTTATTAAGGAAAGAAAGGAAGCACACAGTGCACCAATCCTGTTCCCTCATTTTTAACCGCGTTATATAAGGTTTAAGTTCAAGAGACGACCTCATCTTATCTCAAAACTAGCGGATATCTGTGTTCCTCAAAGTGATAGTCGCTGCAAACCTCCATTTTCCAGATGTCCGAAACTTTAAAATCAAGCAAAAGAATGCATCCCCGCAACACCTTAAATCCATCGCAGACGGCTTTACTCGACATTACTGGCACTCAATGACACACTGCGAACTGCCGTACATCACGTATCTCTCGTGCATCCTTTTCTCTCATCACTAGTTAGTAATCTACCAATAACATTAGCAAATGAGCTGATCCAAAAGTGGGATCATGATGGAAAGCAACCAGGCAAAACGATTCTACCTCATCTGACCGCGTGGTGAATTGTACAAGCAACTGAATGACACATCTCCGGCGCTCTCCCCTTGCAATAATGACTCTGCGACTCTGCTTGCGGGACGAACTGTGGTATCATGATGTTCTCCTCCATCCTCCACTACACTTACGCGTTCTCTTGTTGCTTTATTTCATTTTTACTCTGTCAGTTTGGTTGCCTTGGTTTTTCCTTCTTTTGTGTCTAGTGCAGAAACAAAAAAATTCACCTTCAGCAGGCAGCACAGTTTGCGGTGGTGGCATCGGTTGTGGAAGTTGCATCTGATGTTGCACGAATACATCTGGTGTATAGAAATATGGAACTGTTGTAGCAGTAGCAGGAGCAGCTGTTGGAACCGAGTAGAAAACAGGGTTGCTTGGCGGCGGCATGTAGATGAACCCAGGATGGCCTGAAACAGTAGGATCCTCCTATTCAGTAGATCCGCTTTACTGACAGCCACTATAGCCAACTGACTTTGCATGTTCGCCAAAGTTTCTTATTCAGATAACACAGCTCTCTCTTGTGGAGAACTGGTCGGGGTCCTAGAAGCTATCTGTTCCTTCCTTACGGTCAAACGAGGAGACCGTACAACCCAACCTCACTTCATTGCGAACGCGAGCACACGGCTGGTTACATCAAGAAATCAGGTCACAAAGGAAGAAATCATCTTATGTAGCATGAAATAGTAAACTGAATGCCGCCCAAGATAACAGGTACATGAAGTTCTCGAAATATT